CTAAAAAATCATCTTATCGCACAATATTAACCAAATCAGCCAAACATCTACTGGCTAGTTTTATCATGTGACCTGGCTTTTAATTCTGCCATTCCATAAAATATTACCACCTGCACCATTCCTTGTAAATTAGATTTTGTACTAAGTATACATAAGATTAAGTCCAAACAAGATTGTAAAACAGCTAACCACTATTCTATGTTTAGTTTTAAGTAATAATTACTATGTACTATTATCTTATCTAGTTTTAATTAGTTACTATGTATTAGGATTAGTTTGCCCGAAATGCCTCGGCATGATAGTGGCTATCTTTGTACTTAGCTAATCAAAATTGTAATTACACATTGTAACCTTTACAAAGAAATAAACTTATTATTATTATTATTAGACACCTAAAAAAAGTTACAATACATATGTAGTCACATAAAACAGAGCTATTGTGGCATTGTGAATTTATGTATGTCTTATCTATTTCCACACCCTGAATTACATCATGTATGTTTGAAAACTCTTGTAAGTGGTGTAAACACACAAACTTTCCTGAAAAAAAAATATAATGAAATAAAATTATATAGACAAGTTAGTTCAGTTGGTCAGCTTGCCCCATCAAAGACAAAGTAAACAAACAAACTTCATTTTTATAAAATGGAGTACAATATATTATACATTTAGGGTGTTTGACACACATGTATTTATAAACTACTTTATAGAAAGCCATTTGGCTTCAGCTCATCAAAATTCAATAAAATAAAAAAATTATAGAATTGATGATGGGAAAAAGGTAAGTGGTGCACTTATGAGTCTGTGGAGACAAAGAACTTTGTCTGTGGAAGCAAAGTGGGGAATGTATGAGAGTATAGTTATACCAATGCTCTTATATGGGTGTGAAACATGGGTAGTGAATGTTGCAACAAGGAGAAGGCTGGTGGCAGTGAAGATGTCATGTCTGAGAGCAATGTGTGGTGTGAATATAATGCAGAGAATTTGTAGTTGGGAAATTAGGAGGAGGTGTGATATTACCAAAACTATTATCCAGAAGGCTGAGGAGGGGTTGTTGAGGTGGTTAGGACATGTAGAGAGGAAGGAACAAAATAGAATGACTTCGAGAGTGTATGTATCTGTATTGGAGGGAAAGCGGGGTAGTGGTCGGCCTAGGAAAGGTTGGAAGGAAGGGGTAAAGGAAGTTTTGTGTGCAAGGAGCTTGGACTTCCAGCAAGCATGTGTGAGTGTGTTAGATAGGAGCGAATGGAGACAAAGGGTTTTTAGGACTTGATGTGCTGTTGGAGTGTGAGCAAAGTAACATTTATGAAAGGATTCAGGGAAACCGGCAGGCCGGACTTGAGTCCTGGAGATGGGAAGTACTACAGTGTCTACACTCTGAAGGAGGGGTGTTAATGTTGCAGCTTTATAACTGTAGTGTAAGCACTCTTCTGGCAAGACAGTGATGAAGCGAATGATGATGAAAGTTTTTCATTTTTGGGCCACCCTGCCTTGGTGGGAGATGGCCGATGTGTTAATAATAATAAAGAAAAATGTATGGATTCAGTATTTCCCAAATGTCTTTTTACATTTTTATATAGCTTTTGATTTTCTTACATTTCTGTAAGAAAAACCATAATTGTGTTTTTAACCCTTAAACTGTCCAAACAAATTTACGTTCACATGTGTAGTGCTCCAAAAGTAGATCTGCGTTTTTTTACAGATTTTCAAATATAACAAAAAAAAGTAGATCAAAGTTTTTTTACACGTTTTCAAATGCAAAAAAAAAGAAAAGATCTACGTTTTTTACATATGTACTTTCAAATGTTGAAAAAACGTAGATCTACGTTTGGACAGTTTAAGGGTTAAGAACTGCCTACAGGTAAAGGTAAATACTGTACCTAAGAGGTTTCTCTCCACACGATAGAAGATGGAGGTAAATGTCTAAGATCCTTCAGGTTCATCCAGTTTATAGGGAAGGAAAGTTGATTGGGATGCCAATATCTCTAAGACTGACTGGAAACATTCAGGATGCATCTCAGTCCATGAATGAGGTGTTCTTCATGAAGGTATTCATGGGATTTGAGAGATGGAGCACTGAGCCCAAAAGGTTTGTCAAAATCAGTCACCATTGCAGACTTTCCTGCTCAAGTATTCTTTTTGCTCCCAAAGTAGCAGGTGACAATACTTGTCTGCAGAAATGGAGAGGTGAAGATTGGCCAAGTTAAATTTGGAATGCAATGGGATTAATATTGACTGGGTGATTAATGGCTCGTATTCAGAAATGCACTGATCATTCATTGTCTGGAGATTTGTAGATTTCTAAACTGAAGTTGAGTCTACTATCAGGATGTCTTCTAGATGTAGACGAATGGTTCAGAGAACTGACAAGTTGATAAATTAGACACATGTGTAACTCTTGGGTATCTTCAATAAGGAAGTGTTTCGCCACACAGTGGCTTCATCAGTTCAGACAAAGGAGAATGGTGAGGAACAAGATTGATGGACTGATTACATCGACTCAAGGCTGAAGGACTGATTACCTCAAACTCCTCCTGTTCTTCACCATTCTCGTTTGTATGGACTGGTGAAGCTACTGTGTGGCAAAACGTTTCCTTATTAAAGATACCCAAGTGTTGCACATGTGTCTAATTTATCAACATGTTTCCTAGGTAGATAAAAACAGACAAGCCTGTAGTATGGAGGCTGTGTATGAGAGCCTGACATCCATGGAGAGCTATGGTGCTATCTCAAGGCCAGAGAACATTGCTGCAAACTGTTAGTTTGCCCTGTCCATCGTAAGGTGAAGAATTTATTGAAGTCTTAATGTAATGGGATGTGAAGAAAAATCATTTAGATCATTCAGGGTGTACCAACTAGATTGAACCAGAGAGGAGGGAATCCTGGTGGTGGATTCTAATTTGAATCTCATCAGGAATGTTTGGAAGCTAAATCCTATAGATCCTGTATGATGTGATGCTCTTTATTTTGCTGCATAAGTAAAATTTGCACACTCTTAGTGTATCACTCTCTCTCTCTACCATGCACTCCTGAATGAGGTTCCAAACAATGTAATCAAATTGGCAAACTAAGTTTTTCAAACCACTAAAAGTATTGTAGAAATATTTTTTTGTCAGTGCAGTGGTACCTCGGGATACGAACTTAATTCATTCCAGAAGGCTGTTCAAGTGCTGATACCGAATGAATTTGTTCCCATAAGGAATAATGTAAATTAGATTAATGCATTTCAGACCCCCAAAAATACACTTACAAAAGCACTTACATAAATACACTTACATAATTGTTTGAGTTTTGAGCTCTTCGTATCCTGAGGTACCACTGTATAGTAAAGCCAGCAAGGAAGATTCAGAAAATAATTCTTTGGAGTTGTGGATGACTGGAAGACATTGGAGTGGTGGATGCTAAAAACTATCAGGATCTTTAACCCGTTCAGAGTCCAGAGGCCAAATTTCAAAGTGTGCACCAGGGTCCAGGAATTTAAAAAAAAAAAAATTATTATTTTTTCTTATGAAATGGTAGAGAATCTTTTTCTGAAGGTAATAAAACAAAAAGTATGAAATTTGATGGAAAATTGACAAAATTATGCTCTCGGGAATTTTGATGTGTCAGCGATATTTATGCATCGGCGATTTTGCCGACTTTGACTCCCATTTTAAGCCAGTTACATTATTCCAGTCAACCAAATTCTTAGCTATTCCACTAGTATTACTTCTTTCTATCGATTGGACACAAGAAATTGCCAAGTCAACCGTTTCAACTACAAAATAAAGTGATTGGAAATTGGTAATTTGGCCAATTTAATGCAAAGTTCAAAATACAGTATTCCAATTTCAAAATAGTATCCAGAATAAACAATGCAGGCATTCCTGGCACTAAACTAATATTTCCTCTGTTCATTAAGTACATTTTCAGGCTTTACAAATGAATTTCATTTTTATTTTTTATTCACATAATGAATTTTTATTCAGACGAAAATATAGAAGATTTACTGTTTACTCTTGAACATCGACAAAAATTTAACATTTCCGCTACTTTGAGCTCAGTTTCACACCATTTCCAGTAATAAAACCAATCAAAATCATCTCTATTTCTGTAATATATCTTCCATTCTATCAAATGAGACCAAGAAATCGCAAATACATACAACTATAAATAACATACGAAAAAACACTGCAAAGTTGCTGTTTTAATCGAAAATTACGGTCTCAGTTTTTTTTCTCTCATTATACACTGTGTGCTGCAGGATTTGTTTTATGTGGTGCACACATACCACATAGATGTATTCTCTCATATCTAGGCCCAAATATACAGCTCACAGCTTATCAGTGTGTGCTGAGCTCATGCCGTAGATCTACTGTTTGGACCCTCAACTCAAAGCCATAGAACTACGGCACGGACCCTGAAAGGGTTAAAAATATATACATATAAATAAAAAATATTTATTTTCTAAGAATGTACATTAATATTATAAAGATAGGTTAGTAGAGCACAGGAACTGTACCTCCCATCTCCTGGACTCAGGTCCAACTAACTAGTTTCCTTGACTTTTTTCATAAATGTTGCCATGCTGTCACTCTGATGGCATATTATGTCAATTCCCCAAACCTTCTTGCCTCCAAACTGATCTAGTCAGCTCTCAAATGCCTGTTGGGTGCTTAATTCTTTACCACTTAAAACCTACTCCTCCCTTACCCTTTATTCAGTCCTGAGATGTTCCCTGTCTCCTCATCCATCAACCCTAGTTATACACCCTCTTAGTCAACTTACTTTACTTCACTCTTTCTAAATAATTAAACTGTCTGAACAACCCCTCTTCACCTTAACGGGCAGGACTAAGAAAGATCACATGCTTCAGAATTAATGGTTCTGTGCTAGAGTTGAATACATTTTTTTTTTCAGCAGAATTTTATCTTCATCATTGTATGAAACTCTGATTTTAAGAATTAAAACTTTTGCTCTGGTGAAGAGTAATGTTTTATATAGTACATATAATATTTCAGGGACTTCTAGAAAATGACTTCATAACGCAGTTTGGATCCATCACGTGTGACAACTTCCGCAGCTTGACTAATATAGCCCAGGTTGTGCAGCACTCTGCAAACTCTCCCATCCAGGTGAGATTTCAATGTAATATAATAATAATAACAATATTTCTTTTTTTATTAACACACTGGTCGATTCCCACCAAGGCAGGGTGGCCCGAAAAAGGAAAACTTTCACCATCATTCACTCCATCACTGTCTTGCCAGAAGGGTGCTTTACACTACAGTTTTTAAACTACAACATTAACACCCCTCCTTCAGAGTGCAGGCACTGTACTTCCCATCTCCAGCACTCAAGTCTGGCCTGCCGGTTTCCCTGAATCCCTTCATAAATGTTACTTTGCTCACACTCCAACAGCACGTCAAGTATTAAAAACTATTTGTCTCCATTCACTCCTATCAAACACGCTCACGCATGCCCGCTGGAAGTCCAAGCCCCTCGCACACAAAACCTCCTTTACCCCCTCCCTCCAACCTTTCCTGATACACTCTTGAAGTCATTCTGTTTCGCTCCATTCTCTCTACATGCCCGAACCACCTCAACAACCCTTCCTCAGCCCACTGGACAACAGTTTTGGCAATCCCGCACCTCCTCCTAACTTCCAAACTATGAATTCTCTGCATTATATTCACACCACACATTGCCCTCAGACATGACGTCTCCACTGCCTCCAACCTTCTCCTCGCTGCAACATTCATCACCCATGCTTCACACCCATATAACAGCGTTGGTAAAACTATGCTCTCATACATTCCCCTCTTTGCCTCCAAGGACAAAGTTCTTTGTCTCCACAGACTCTAAGTGCACCGCTCACCCTTTTCCCCTCATCAATTCTATGATTCACCTCATCTTTCATAGACCCATCCGCTGACACGTCCACTCCCAAATATCTGAATACATTCACCTCCTCCATACTCTCTCCCTCCAATCTGATATCCAATAATAATATAATATCTTTATTTACTACAAGTACATGTACATGGTATACAGGCCTAGCTGACATCAGTGACATACTACTATATAGAAAGCCCCTTGTTATGCTGAGCATTTTGGGCAAATTAGGTCAGTTTTGTCCCAGGATGCGACCCACACCAGTCGACTAACACCCAGGTACCCATTTTACTGATGGGGAACATAGACAACCGGTGGAAAGAAACAGGCCCAGTGTTTCTACTCTGGCCGGGAATCGAACCCAGGCCCTCGCCATATGAAGCGAGAGCGTTAGCCACTAGGCCACCAGTATATTTAGTCAGGTACTTATTTTTTTTTTGAATTATCAATGTAAATGCTATAGGAAGAGTTCTTAAGCTCACCTTATTATTTTACTTTGGTCATATTGCTCTGTAGTCTCCTTGTTGTGGTAAACAGTACCAAACTCATATAATATTTTGTATTGGTATTGAATAAATGGTGGTGAATGTGTTGTCTTCTTCAGCTCACTCTGCCCTGGTGGGAGATGGCTGTTGAGGTAAAAGTAAAAAAGACAAAGAATTATACACAAACAATCTGAACATAAAAGAGAAGAGCTTATGACAGTGTTTCGGTCCGACTTGGGCCAAAGTTGGACTGAAACATCATCTTAAGCTCCTTTCTCCTATATGTGGGTTATTTGTGTATCGTTCCAGTCACGGTATTGTGCCTTTTTGTCCTTAACAAAGAATTATCCATGGAAGCAAAAAGTGGAATGTATCAGTGTAGTTAAAGGAGCACTTATGTGAGTGTGAAGCATAGAGGCTGGAGGTGGAAGAAATGTTGTTTGAGGGCAATGTGTGATGTGAATATTATGCAGAGAATTCACAGAGTGGAGATTAGAGGAAGGTGTGAGGCTACCAAAAGTATAATTCAGGTTGAGGATGGGTTGTTAAGATGGCTTGGAAACTTAAAGAGGATGGAGCAAAATAGGATGACAAGGAAGGTATATAAACCTTAGATGGAGAGGAGAGGAGAGGAGAGGTAGGAGTCATCCTAGGAAGGGTTAGAAGAGGGGGCAGGAATAAAGATTTTGAGTGCTAGGGGCTTGTATCCAACAGTCTTGTTTGAGCAGGTTAGATTGAAGTGAGTGGAGGAAGTGGTATTTGTGACTTGACATGCTGTTGGAGTGTGAGCAAGTTAACATTTATGAAGGGATTCAGGGGACACCAGTTAGTCAGACTTGAATTCTGGAGGTGGGTAGTACAGTACCTTCACTCTAACGGAGACCTCTGAAGTATTAAAGAAACAGAGACAATAAGCAAAGCAAGCTTTTATTGGGACTACTTATCACTTAGGATTTAGCTTTAATAATTTAGACTTGATAAGGCTCAACAACTGAACAAATTATTCCCAGTTAAAACTTGTTCTTCACACTATGTCATCATGCCCATAAATGTTGACAGTACAGGTAGTCTAATAACTATGGTTGTAATTATAACCTTAATTTTTAAAGAGGTGAACTGGTAAGCCAGGGGAAGGCCTTGGTCAAATGACCAGAAGCTCCAATGGTGGGTCATCATATGACTAAGACCTGCATCGGGAACCACTTGTCCTGTTGCCTGACAATCTTATCTAACTTAACTTCTGTATCCAAATATTTTGTATTGCTGTACTCAAGCATGCCTGATCAATACCATTTCTCATGTTTTGTTTTCTGTTATGGATTAATGAGCTTTTGATCTGGCTAGTTAGATCACCAGTTTGCTTACTCAGTAAGGATATTAGTTTAAAGGATTTTTCCTATTTTTTTTTTTCACATGTTGTGTGTTTGTGACTAGTCACTTGTAATTGCATTTTCATCTGTTAGTGCAGGAAGCACTAAGAAATCACTTTAACATAGGTGACATAAGGATATCAGGTCAGTTTGAAACCTGATCAGTCTGTAGCTGACATCTTGTCATTCAATAAACACTTGATGAAACATTGTGATTCAATGAGTACTGTATTATTTAAGAGTCTGTCTTTATTAAATACTTTTTTTTATTATTAACACATTGGCCGTTTTCCACCAAGGCAGGGTGGCCCGAAAAAGAAAAACTTTCACCATCATTCACTCCATCACTGTCTTGCCAGAGGCGTGCTTACACTGCAGTTATAAAACTGCAACATTAACACCCCTCCTTCAGAGTGCAGGCACTGTACTTCCCATCTCCAGGACTCAAGTCCGGCCTGCCAGTTTCCCTGAATCCCTTCATAAATATTACCCTGCTCCCACTCCAACAGCATGTCAAGTCCTAAAAAGCATTTGTCTCCATTTGCTTCTATCTAACATGCTCACGCATGCTTACTCGAAGTCCAAGCCCCTAGCACACAAAACCTCCTTTACCCCCTCCCTCCAACCTTTCCTAGGCCAATCTCTACCCTGCCTTCCCTCCACTACAGATTTATACACTCTTGAAGTCATTCTATTTTGTTCCTTCCTCTCTACATGTCCGAACCACCTCAACAACCCCTCTTCACCCCTTAGGATAATAGTTTTGGTAATCCCGCACCTCCTAATTTCCAAACTACAAATTCTCTATATTATATTCACATCACACAATGCCCTCAGACATGACATCTCCACTGCCTGCAGCCTTCTCCTTGTTGCAACATTTAGATTTAGATTTAGATTTTTTATTTTGACAAATTACATGGTTGTACAGTGGAATATAACAGTTTGGTGTACATGTCAAAAGCCCCTCTGTATGTTGAGCATTTTGGGCAAACTTAAAGATTAACTTAAGACTAGTAAGGAATAATACATAGTTTATATGGTCATTAGATGAGTTTGAGTGAGTGATACTACATGATAATGAGACTTTTTACACTATTGAATTAGTTAATAAAGATTACAGTATTACAATGTGACAATTTAAAACAATTTACAATATGATGTATTACAGTTGTATTTAAAACAGTAAGTGGTTGAGCATTTATCAGTAAAATATGAGTAGCTTTTGAGAAACTGGTAGTGGTTAGGTATGGTTTGACTGGTTAATTTTGGGTAATGAGGTGATTTCTTATTTGGGCCTTAAACTGATTTGCAGACAGGGATCCTTCAGTTTGTTCTGGCAATGAATTCCAGATCTTTGGGCCTTTTACGTGCATAGCATTTTTGCATAGGGAGAGATGGACACGGGGGATATTGAAGGTATTGTATTATGGTTGTGTGTTCTGTTATAGTTATCAAGAAGGAGTTTGAGAGGAGGGTTTACATTAGAGTATAGTGTTCTGTGTATGTAGTAGGCACAATAATAAGTGTGGATGTTTTGTATATTTAGCAAGTTAAGACTCTTGAAAAGAGGTAAGTGTGTTGCCTAATGCAGGAGTTAGTAATCAATCGCTCTGCAGCTTTTGGCTGGGTTACTAAAGGCTTAAGGTGATTTGCTGTGGTTGAGCCCCATGCACAAATACCATAGGTGAGGTAAGGATAAATGAGAGAGTGGTACAGAGCTAGAAGAGCTGATTGGGGTACATAGTACCTTATCTTTGAAAGGATGCCTATTGTCTTGGAGATTTTCTTAGAAATTTGTTGTATGTGTGTCTGAAATTTGAGACTGCAGTCAAGATGGAGATCTAGCAGTATAATAAAGGCAATTGTTGTTAGGATCATGTGTATCATTTAACTCTTTCAGGGTCGAGAGGCCCTCTCCTAAACTCGTTCTCAGTGTTGAAAATTTTTCAGAAAAAAAAATTATTTTTTCTCATGAAATGATAGAGAATCTTTTCCCGATCATAATGACACCAAAAGTATGAAATTTGATGGAAAACTTGCGGAATTATGCCTTCGTGAAGTTAGCGTTCTCGATGATGTTTATGCAACGGCGATTTTGCCCAATTTGAGCCCTATTTTCGGCCAATTTCTGTGTACTAGTCGACAAAAATCATATTTATTTTGCTAGAACTCCATTTTTTCTATTGAATGTGTACAGGAAACCACTAATTTACCAATTTCAACTATCCAATAAAGTGGTTAGAAATTGGCAATTTTGCCAATTTCACACAAATTTCAGAAGATGCCAATTTCCAAATAGGGTCCAGAACAAACAAGACAGACATTCCTGGCACTAAAATAACAAGTTCTCTGTTCGTCAGTCACGTCCCCAGGCCCCTCTTA